TTCTTATTGTATCCAATTCAACAACAACAGTAGAGAACAACTGATAAACTGTACAATGAACACAAACAGTGAACACAATAACTGCAGGAAGTTTGTGTAAACGAGAGATTTGGGTGAATTATGAGCAAATCATTTCCTGTAAATTTTGATTACAAATTCTATGAACTCTGGCTATTGGGATCTTAAATAATAATCAAAACTTAAAAATTAACACGTTTTCTTACACCCCTTTAAAATCAAGGAGGTTGTGATGCTTTGGTGGCCCCTAGTGGAGGTCCCGACCCACAGGTTGGGAACCACTGATTAGCAACTGAGCAAACTCTATCTGGTCGGAAGTCAAGAAGAACCTTAATTATTCAAATTCTGTTGTAAGATGTGATTTTTTACATTTCACACAATCAGCAGCTGAACTAGAAAAGCAGACGGTGTGCAACAAGTTTTGATGTACGTTTTCTCTCGCTTGGCGAGTGTGTCAGAGGTGTTACCCAATCAGCAGCAACGTGTATATAAACACCGCAACAGTGCACTTGCCTACCCAACAGGGTGTTCAACGCGCCACTATTTCCGTATGGAGAAATGTTTTGCTACGTTTTGTCAGGTTCGCCTCGTTTGAGTTTGCAGAGCTGCTCCTGTCAGCCAATCAGAGTCCAGTACTGTGCATCATCACAATGACATCATCAGGGTAATTATCTCGGACTTTAGAAAGGTCCCTCAGAGAACACTTTATACAACTGTCCTCACAGGCGGATTTAACGTGACCAGACGTGAACTTTCTTTTGAAATTCGGGACATTCCCTGAATTACGAGCAATTGCTCTGAATGTAGTGTATTTTGGAGCGCTGCCAACTCGTCATGAATAATCAATAACATAACAGAGATACAAGCTACGAGCTGTGGCTGTCACCAGAATGAAGAGGACTCTAATGAGAGAAGCCTCTCATTAAATTATCAATTAGTCTACATTAATTATAGTAGACAGAATAATTTTTTACTCTCTGAATCTGTGAAAATATCCTGATCAGATCACTTATGTAGCTTATAATTACTGTTTGTATTGTAAAAATATATTAAATATGTAAGAGGATTTTGTCCTTTCACCTGTCTGTATCAGAAATAACAGATTGTTGATGTCGTTCGACCTTTTTAAACCAGATGCAATCTGTGTTTAAAACGACTGTAACATACCTGTCACCTGTGCATAATGAAAATTTAAGATTGGCCACGTGACCACTCCCCCCCCCCGATTTCTACCCACTCTCATCTGGTCACCCTCACATTAAGTCTAATCTTAACGTGTGAAATTGGTGCAGTTTGACCGAGTCCAAATCAATTTCAAAATAAAATTGCGACGGCTAGATAATGTGGGACCTGAACCATTTCATTTCTCGTCCTTCTGTTGTTGAAAATGAAAATGTTTCCTGAATAATTGTGTTATTCTAAAAGCTTTAATGTAAATGTCGTTACATCAACTGTCTTTAGCATATTTGAAATCAGCTGTTCTGCCTAAAACTGAGCCCAAAGCAGATGCAGTGAGTGAAGGCAGTGAGTCGGTCGGGTCATTAATCATCAGACTGTTATCTTACCAGAGTGTGACGTATACTGGTGGACCGCTGTCCTCCGCCCCCACACTGCCTTTACTTTTCTTCATTAAGCAGAGAAAAGACAAATATCTTTTTAAAAAAAAACAGCGACGCTTAAGAAAAAGGTAGTAAAACGGTCAGGCAGTATTCAAAGTATTCAAAGCACAGTAGAAGAAGGTTTTTTTTGTTCAGGCACTTGTTAAACTCCCTCTGTGTCGTTCATGAACAACAGTTACCAGAGCCGTGGAATGCTCTTTCCCTAATATTCTCATTATAGTGGTGATTATAGTAATGGGGTTTGGCTTTGTTGCTGCCGTACATCAGGCCGGCACAGTGTGAGTGCGAGTGTGTGTGTGTGTGTGTGTGTGTGTGAGTGTGAACACTGTGGATTGAATGAAAATACACTGATTACATCTCCAGTCCTTCACATGTGTTTACAATAAGTGACACAAGTAAACTTTTTAAAATACACAGAGAGAAGATAACTCTAATTTTACATTCAACTTAAGATTTTGAAGAAAAACAACAACGACGACAGAGTCCGGGTGTAAAATGAACAGTCATATAGCCTCAATGACAACCTCAAAACTGACATGTTTTGTTAAAATAAACCATTTAAAAGGCATCGAGTCTCCTTGGGTTGTTTGAAATCGCATCTAAAACAGAATATTCAGATATAGAATGTCATTTCAAATCTGTAACGAGTTTTAAAATATTAATATTGAACAGTTAGAAAGACACTTTATTGTTGTTTATTAATATCAAATAATTGATATTAAAGGTCCAAGATGTGTTTAGCTTAGCTTAGCACAAAGCCTGGAAGCAGTAGTAAACTGCTAGCATAGTTTTGGCTAATGTTAGCCGTCCAAGAAGATAAAATTAATATCTGTCTTTTTATCATGATGTGGGGTGAGACAGTAAACTGTTTCCTTAAAGGAATAGTTCGACATTTTGGGAAATACATTTATTTGCTTTCTTGTAGTTTAGCTTAGCATAAAAACAGCTTGTCTGGCTGGACTTTTTTACTTTCGGACAGAGCATAGCTAGCCTTTACCTCCTGTTATCAGGCTTTATGCTAAGCTAACTTATTGCTCGCTGGCTGTAGCTTCAAATATGAAAGTGGTATCACATTCTAATCTAAGTCTCGCCAAAAAACAAAAGAGCGCATTTCCCCAAATCTGGAATGGTTCCTTTAAGCTTTCAATCACATTGGACGAGCTGAGGACATCGTCATTTTCCAATGATAATACAGTCAACAGCTGCGTTGCCTCATTAAAAGACAACCCATGTCTGTTGTAGTTTAAATATTAAGGCTTCTTCATGGTTGTCTTCTGTGGTTGGCTGAGTTTTTATGATACTAAGCCTTATTTAATTGTAGCTTGAACAGCTGAGGAATTACAAAAAACAATTTCAACCGAGTCAATCGAGCTGTTTGATAAAGTGTCTCATTATTCAGCTCGACAGATAGAAATTTGTGAATTCTGTTTTAGGGTGGATTTCGAGACTCATCACAGTGAAAGATGAACTCAGTGACATCGAATACGGACGGTGTGACTTATGACGACTGCTGCTGTTGAGTGAAAACCTTTTTTATGTTAATATCAAACGGCAACTTTTCAAGTTGAGATTTTAAGGTGCGTTTTAAAGGGTTACGTGATCCCTAAATGTTTTCTCAAACTGTGAAGGAACGTGGGATCATTGAGTTCAATAAAGAACAATGTTAAAAAAAAACAAAGCCACAAGGTTTTTGCCTGGTAATAACACAGTGTCCAAGACTGACAGATCTTTGAAGTGCCTATCGCACCCCCCCGTCTCAGCTAAAGGCAACAGTCAGCTCCATTTAACAGTGTCTCTGTTTGAATCCCAGAGCCAATTAAAAGGTGTGAGATGCCTCCAACAGGCCGACTGTTTTCGATGTCGCTGTAAAATTGGTCAGTAGGGAAGACATCAGCCCCCCGAACCACATCCTAAATTAATCGCACTCGGAGATAATCACATAACCGACAATTAACTCCATTTCCCATTTAATACCCCACCCTCCCACCCACCCACAGTACGACTATACACACACGTGGCACATCTACACATCAGTCTCATTACACAGACAGACGCTGATTCCCAGCAGGCACGACGCACGCATGAAATATGTGTTAGAGCTTATCACAAGCTTTGTTAAGTTCACAACAGTGATGCTTACGCCTTTTTGTTTTTACTCCTCTGAGTGGGGTGGAAGGATTTTGGGGTGATTTATACACAAACACTAAACACTGTGTGTGACATCATTAATTAGGGATGTGAAAAACAGACTAATAAAAACAAGCTGCATAAAGCAGATTAGAACGTTTTTGCCTCGCTGGAAAGGAGTTTCATTTCAGAAACATGCGAAAAAAGAAACCATTTGAAACAATAATTAAGTCTTGTTTTGGTAAATAAGTCGTGACTTTAAGTCAACGCACATAATGGATTCCTGATGCAAATTACAAATTATCTTTTTCTTATTATTATCTTTTTCTTATTCTTGTTTAAAAATATCAAATTTCACATGAAGAAAAGGTCCTTTCTGGAAGGAAACCCCTCAAGTTCAGCAAGTTATTTGACACCCAGCCTCTATTTCATTCCTTTGACCAGCAAAGCAGCTGGCTTCTCTTCTCCAAATGTAAAACTCTCTGGATTCTTCTTTCAGCACTGCGCCCTGAACGCTGCTGGCATTTCCATCCCCATCCTCTACACCCCCAGCTTCCTCTCTCATGACGAGCCACTGGTTCCGGATCAGCTGCAGCCTGTTGGCACTGCGTGGTTGGCACTGAGGGGGATGTTCCCGCTGATCTGTGATCAGACTGAGCTGTAACGGCACTGAGTGAAAGAAAACAACAAAAGATGCGGCTCACGTGTACTTTAGCCGAGATCTACACCCTTCTGACATTTTGCTAGCTTACAATAAACTATATTTAAATACCAGAGCACCAAAAAGAGGTCAGATGTCAGAACAAATGTGTCTTTCAACAGAAAGGCAGGAAACCCAGTGAGCAGTGATCTGGCAATTTAAAGTGTGTCCAGAAATTTGGTTGAAAAGAAGGTTCATTTTGGTAATTTCTTAGAAAGTCTTGCTTGCAGCATGCCTAAAGTTGGATAAGGAAAACTGTAGTTAATTTGAGTTAATTAATTTAAGGTGTACTAATTCAATATTGTTTCAGTGTCCTCTGTAATTAGTACCAAATGACATAGTTCTTCCAGGGAAACCAAAACTGTTTTAACAGTATTTAAATTACTGTATTTCAATATCAAGCAGGTCTTAAATCTTGTAATTTAAATGCAGTTTAATACATTCAGGATGCAGAGTTGGGTTTGGATGTCGGTTCCAATTTTAGATCCAGTTCTGAGCTAAATCTTTCAGTCCTTAGGAATGTGCAGATAATTTAGGCAGCATTAGCAGGCTTCTCCTGGTTGACCTCACATGTTAAAGTGACAAAAGATCACCGGCGGCAGATTACATCAGTTTATCACTAATTAATGTTAACTCCACACATAAACAGATCAGACTGATCCGACTGTTGTTTGGTCGGTGTGCTCTCAAAGATTTGTTAGACAGCAACGTCCCACATTCACTACAGTCGGGACCTGAGTCCACTGTAATAATCAGGTTTCGTCACTCCAGTTTCAGGAGTCAGTCAGGAGTCTTTTAACCTTTTATGTAGGGCTGCAGCTATCGATTAATTAAGTAATCGAGTACTGTGTCGATTATTCAATGTATGTAATGATGGAAGCAACAGTAGCAATATAGCTATAGTTAATATACAATAGAGAAACCAATGACTCATAGCTTCTAACTAGCATACAAAGATTATTTTTAGTAACTCGAGGAATTGTTTGAGCTCTACTTTTATGTATATCCTATCAATAGTTTCATCCTATTAACCTTTTTGTTCTGTTTTGAATTCAAAGAGATATATGTGTTGGAATCTTTAATAAAGCCTGTGTGTGTTTGTGTGAATCTTTCAGGATTTCTAGGATAAGCAAGGTGTGTTTTCGGAGAGTTTCTGGCCCCAGAGTGAGCCTGCTCAGGCCCCCCACAAGCTGCAGCAACTAACTTGTTAATGATAAAGTGTGAAAAGTAAGTAAGCTACAGCTGTTGTTTCACATGTTTCTATCTTCTGCTGCTCATCTCATTTTCAGGTTGCAGTTGTAAACATTAATTAGTCTGCTATTAAAAAAGTTCTTCCTTCTCAGGCAACAAAAGATAATTACAGGTCTAAATTGATTCTCTGAGTTTTAGTTATTAATAACTTTAATTACTTGCAAATGTTGAAAACTAAACCTAATTAGAACCAATAAGGGATTCAATCAGGGAATGAGATGCAGATTAAATAATCTGATTCAGATTCTATAAAGTGCCACTGAATCCTTATGGAGCCCCAGAGTGACCATAGAGAGGAAATAATATATATTATCAAGGCCATATTTTACTGCCTGAAATGCTAATTGGGGAATGAAAGACGTTCCCGCTTTTTAACTATTAATTTGTGCACGCTAGCTTAGCACTCCTACCTGTACTTATTGTCTTGGTTAGTACACAGGAGGATTTGGCAGAATTATGTTAACTGATCAATGCTACAATAGTTAGTTAATAAATTATTATATTTGATGAACGGGAAGCAAGCTCACATTGTCTGAACTGTACTGGGCCATGCAAGTTCGGGCGACATTAAATCAGACACCGGAAAATCAAAAGGGATACATGCACGCAATAGCATTTCTAGTGCTTGATGTAAAGTAAGTAAAACGTGGCCTTGATATATACATTTCTTTCTCCGGGGCTCCGTAAACCCCTAACCCCATGTAGACTTTAAATTGCCCAGTTTCAATCCAGATGTCTGGATGTTCTTTGTCATGAAAATCACCAGATCAGTGTTTACTGGAAAACGCCCACATGCACTTTTGAATCCAGAGTTTATTTTCGTTTTGTCAGGTTAGCTGAGCCTGAGTTAGCACCAGTGTGTTGACTGAACAGTTAATTTGTGTTCGGCTCAGCTGATCCTGAATCAGTGGCTTTCTAATTGGATGCAAAAAAGGGCCTTATATATACACTGAACACATATCAGCTTACTGGAGCCATTGATTTCTACTCCAGAGAATACTGCAGGTGCAAGAATTAACATAATAACATAATCAGCTGTTCAAACCAAGAGGAGGAGGATGGGGGGAGGATGATCCTGGTACTGGGGCATACTGGGTGATGTAGTCCGGGTCACATGGCCAGGGCTCGGGCCTTGGTGGCTGCTGCCTGCGCTCTCTGCACGGCTCCCTGGCTGTTCTCCCTCCTCATCAGCTGGTTGTTCTCGAAAATGCCCTCATGGCTGCCACCGCCGCCGTCCAAAAACGTCAGCACTCCTGAACCAGACAGACTCCTCGTAATGTATTTCATCAGAGCTAACAGGAGCTACATGTACAGCCATGCTCTTACTAAAAAGATGGCTGCATTGTTTATAACCAGGTTACTTGAGATATCTGGTTAGGAGGAAAATTCTTTGTCTTTTACCAAATACTTTTTTAGAGGAAACATGATTGGTACTCCACCAACAACCAAGGGAAGAAATCTGTTAGCTGTGCAGGAAAGAATCATTTCTACGAACTTCAGAGAGGTTTTGGTTTCATGTAGAAATCCTTCTTTGGGATATTTTTGTCTGCTTGGGACAAAAAACGCAAAATCTATAAATCTATAACCAGTGTATAACCATATTTATTTAGTTATTATTTTCAAGTGATTATACACTAATGAAAACAGTTATGCGTATTATATTCCATTTCTGCCAATAGATCCTCTTAAATGTTACACACTGGACCTTTAAAAATATCTGGGATTATTAGCTATCTAAGCTGAGACTTGTTTGTGTCATCTGAGTCCTAGTTTCCTTTATATAATGGGTTAGGGTGAACTGTTACCTGAACTTGGGCTAATGTTGAACAAAAACCTGCATTAAAAACAGGAAAACAGGAAGGCAGCCCTTCCTTTAAAAATACCACTTGGCCTGGCTCTGATTTCAGGCTGTTAAAATCTCCGGAAACTGAAGGAATCTTAATGTTCCACCTCTATTTTTACAAGCACAAAAAATTAGCCAGTTGTCACGGTGACACATTGTTCCACCCCGGCCACCCAGCAGCCTTCAAATGAAAACGTGTTGATTACCTCCAGAGACTGCGAGTGTGGATGCACAGGGGGCTTCAGACCAGACAATTATCATGTTTCACAGTTTAATATAATCAAAAAAGCATTTACAATGTTTGGTATCTGAACAAAGATCAGAGATAAACCCAGTACAGTGACAGTGTGAGACGTAAAACTTTACCTCAAAACATATATATATATATATATATATATACATATACATCAAATATTCCCTTATTTTGTGAGAAAAAGGGAAACAGAGACAAACCTAATACAATTATAAAAAGCATAAAAGTGAAAGCGAGGCAAGTAACTCCAGTCAAATAGCTAAATTGATACTGAAAACTTAAACCTCAAGAAATGTTCTTTTCTAATGCATTAACCTTTTAAAGTCTCTAATTTTTACTTTCAGTGATGTAGCAGGATGACCATTAATGATATCTAATAAAAATACCTGAATAATCAATCTGGGTTTAATCCAAATTGTATGTATGAGGTATCGGAGATACTATTATTATATAGTTTATAACAGTGTGGTACAGGGCTCCCCAACGTATTGCCCAAGGGCCCCTGGTAGCGTACAGGTAGTCTATCAGGTGCTAGAGTTTACTGCCTAAAATGCAGGACCTTGCTATTTCTCAGTCACGTTCACATTTTTCCCCCCAGTATACGCAGTGAGGATAATTTTCTTCTTCTCACTTGAAAGAAGAAAAAGAAAATAGTAATTGGGTCGAGTTGGGTGCTGTCTGTGTGATTTACACAACGTGACGTTTTATTTATTTTTGTTTGTTATTTTATTTTATTTTAAATAAATTTTGGACGAAAAAATACGGACTCCTTGTTATTAAACCTTTATTTAACCAGG